CACACTATAGGGATCATACGACGTGGGGGCGTGTCCTCATGTCTATAGATCATGTGACCCCCCTTTAGTACACACTATAGGGATCATACGACGTGGGGGTGTGTCCTCATGTCTATAGATCATGTGACCCCCCTTTGTGTGCACACTATAGGGATCATACGACGTGGGGGCGTGTCCTCATGTCTATAGATCATGTGACCCCCCCCTTTGTGCGCACACTATAGGGATCATACGACGTGGGGGCGTGTCCTCATGTCTATAGATCATGTGACCCCCCCCTTTGTGCGCACACTATAGGGATCATACGACGTGGGGGCGTGTCCTCATGTCTATAGATCATGTGACCCCCCTTTGTGCGCACACAATAGGGATCATACGAGGTGGGGCGCGTACCTCGGGTTTGCTGGGGAGGGGCTCATGCTGTAAGAACTTCAGAGCTTTGGCGGCTGCGTCGTGCTTGGCGGCCTGACGCGTTCGGCCTTTCCCGTGGAATTGTTGTCCTCCTATAGAGAGCTCCACCTGGTACAGCATGGGCGCCATAGGGAACGGGTAGAAGTACCTGCGGGGAACAGAAAGCAGCATCATACACACCGTCCCGCCGGCACCGCGCCCCGGGGACCTGCCGGGACGTACCGTGGGGGATAACCGCCGCCACGCATGTTGTAGCTGTATGGGGAACGCATTCCTGTGTACGGGTCCAGGGGCTTGTAGGCGGGCTTACGGCCCAGCTTCATACACAACGCGTTCAGCTCCACGGTGGGGGTTATACTCTCTGCGAGACACAAAACACACAACATGAAATGTACTACAGACCTCATCATGCCCCCACACCGACTGCGCCAGGACTCCGAGGGAGGACAGGAAGAGGAGGTCTGGCCTCCACCCAAATGTGAGCCCCTCCCCCGCTCTACTAAAACATGGAGTCCCCATCACTTCCGGGCCCCCAATAGGGACACAAGGCAAAGTCACATGTTTGGGCCTCAGGTCCCTGTGGTGTCTCTATTCCTGGGGGGCCGTCACTAGAGTGACCCCCCCCAAACAATCCCTACAGGAGGCGGAGCATCAGATGCGGCTTCCTTCTCAGCAATACGCGGGAAGGGGGGGGAGAGGAAGGGGGTCGCCCAGCTTTGTTTTTCCATGCTCTGAATCAGCAACATGGCTGCCGCTCATCATCCTCGGAGAACCTTTGTGGGTGGAGCCGGATAGTTAGGAGTCATCGGGGGAGGGGAGCGTCTGCACAATGGCCCCCACTACGGTAATGTGGCCCCTGAGGTGCATATAGTAAAACCCTCGGCCCGCTCTGGAGATTCTCACCACGTGGCCCCCCAACGTATGACCAAAGACCCAAAAGGGCCCCGCACCACGGCCTCATTCATTCCCATTAGCTGGAGGAGGCCCTCTAGATGAACCAGCCGGGAGAAGGGATGAGGCCGCGGCACAGGGCCCATATGGGGCCCTTGTATCATACAGCGGGGGGGGCCACACGGTGATATAGGAGAAACTCCAGTTCCATAAGCAGAGCCCATCCCCCGATAGACTTAAAGGGGTTCAGCAAGATTATACCGAGGAGACCGGCCTACAAATCCAGTACCATTGCCATGGTTGCCGGGAAGAGAAATCCGAGTGCTCCACCTACCGGATGAGGACCAATATGGAGTCTGGGGAGCGGTCACATGACTGGCCAGGATGGTGACCCCCAAAGACAGGAAAGAGGGGGCAGGGAATAGTCAGAGGAGAGGAACACGCACCTGGTTTGGCCGATCTTCTCCCGCTCTCTCCAGAAGGCTGAAATCCTGCCAA